CGCCAGAGAAGCGAACAGTGGTCCTTCGGCATGGCATGAGGTATTTGTTGTAGATCTCGCATCGCCCCTCTCATCGTGCAGCAAGAGACGGTGGAGGCGATGGCCCCTCTTGGGGCCCAGAAGTGATCAGGATGCGACGTGTGCCCGCTCTCTTGCCCGAAGTCGGTAGGGCCAGTGGCATAGAAAGAGTCGACAACTGCGAGCCCCTCCGTAGGCATGGTTACCCAAAGCTCTTCACTAGTGAAATTCTCGGTGCCCGTGTTGAAGAAACCGACATGGACATCGTCAGCTGTGTGATGCACCACGCGTCCTCCCGTCGCACGCTTGCCGAACTCGCAGTTCGAGTCCGAGTGTCGAGGCACCTCGCGGGGGCACTCTGGATAGTTGTTGTAGCCAATTCGCCAATCGTATAACCGTCGGCTTCCAGTGATCCACCCAAGCTGAGACCCAAGCTAAGGTATCAAAATAGCTGCTTCGAAGTCGCACTCTCCCCGCCCGGTCGAGCAGGTCCCTCGGCGGTTCATGGATCTGCTGGATGTGGCAGCTGCGGAACACTCTCTTACGCAAGAAAATGCTGCATCCTGCTGACTTGTTCGTGAATCTGCCTCGTTGCCATCCATAGTCGAAAACCAAATGATTGGTACTCTTCTGCACGGTGGTTCCGTTTCCTGGGCGCCGCTTTCTCTGCGTCGCCGGGCACATGATCAGATCAGCAACTCAAAGCCGAGAAGAAACGTCAAAGGTACACCATGAATCTGTCATGGAGAGGTTGTAGAGTACGGCTTGCAGCAAAGAAGTCCACATGGTGGGTGGGAGCGGATCTGCAGGCGAGGTCTGTCCTGCGGGGGGTCAGAAGCAGGGGCCCACAAACCCCTGGTCTGGGCAGAAAGGGGCGAGGAGGAGGGGGAGGAGGAGGACCAAGCCCAAGATAAGTACATGTCTCTGACCCTGAGAGCCAGTTGGGACGACCCATGGGCAGCTTGATACCCCTTCCCACATGGCGCCTCGCGCGGCGCATTCCAGGGTTGCGCCAGGAGTGCTTCGACCACCTCCGCTCCCCGCTGCACCCCCCACGCGATCCTGACTGACCAGGACCTGCACCTCGCGACGCAATCGAGGTGGTGAACGTTTTCTTGTTTGGCGCTTCGACATTGAGCGAAAGTGGGGGGAAAGAGAGAGGGGGGGGTCTGGCTCTGGTCCTCTGCTAAGTGCGACTGTTTGCGACCGTGCGTCCTATGGGGGAGACTCCACCTGCTTGAAAGAGGCGCCCAAAAACAGCCAAGATCTACTCTACTCCGTGGGGCGGGGAAGGGTGTGTGTGCGAGGGCCCGCGCCGATCGGCAAAACAATGAATAAGAAAACGACGAGGTGCAGAGATGAGGGCGCGGCCTGTTTTGGGCGGTGCGCACAAGGGGGTAGAGGGAGGGGGGAGGCTTCTTAGAAGGAGGCTGCTTCTTAGAAGGCGCCGCCCTTACATCTACAGATAAGGCCCGCGCCTTCTAAGAAGCAAGTGTGCTTCTAAGAAGCCCCCCCCCCTCCCCCCACCCCCCTCTGCGCGTGGCACATGTTTTTCGGTGCGCCGCCCGGCGCAGCGCAAGCGCGGCCCGGCGGCGTCACCCTGCCTCTCTTGCAAGGACGGCGGCCAGCACGGGCAGGAGCTCCACGGCCTGGGGCAGCGCCTCCGCCTCCGACAGCCGCCCCTCGCGAAGCGCAAACGCCTCGCGGTAGGCAAGGAGGCAGATGTTCGAGGAACAGACAACGGCAAAACATAGAAGCTTTGGGCGCTCCGCGCGGATTTCTTGGATCCACGCCGGACCCCCCTCCCTGCGGCGCCGGAGGCGCCGCCAGGGGGGCCCAGGCGCGGATCCAAGAACTCCGCGCGGAGAGCCGAACGTTTATGTTTGTGGCGTTTTCTCTTCTTCGAAGATGTACTCGCTCATCTTGAGGCGTACCACGTCAGAGCGCCAACGGCTGCCCAACGCCTCGGCGCTCGAGTCATCGCCACCGGCCGTCTCCTGTGCCCACCACGTCCAGCTCCTGGGCCGCCTCGCGCGGTTTTCCCAGAGCTGCGACACAAACTGCTCGATCACCTCGTCCACCTCGTAGCGCCCGCAGAACTCCTCGGCGAGACGACACAGTGCCTCATCCCTCCGCAGGCCCCCTGCCACCGCACGGTCAAGGAAAAGGCGCAGCGGCTTGAGACGTGCAAGGGCGAAGGCCAACGCGTCATCTGCCTCAGGACGGCCAGACGCGCTGTTCGGCAGTGTTGTGAGCACCACGCGAAAGTCGAGGGCACTCGACGGCTCGCTGCCGGGCAGGAACTCCGCGACGCTGGCAGCGCGGAAGGTGAAGACGGGCTCCTGGGAGGGCTCGAGGGTGAAGCCGTAGGAGGACATGAGCTGCGCGTTGCTGCGGAGCCCGTAGCTAATCGTCAGCTCCTCTCCCGCATCCACGTCGCGGCGGGCCCGGACACGAAGCACCTCGCCGCCCGCGCCACCCTTCCACTGCCAGGCGGCATTGGCGCGAGAGCACACGTCGTGGTTCAGGTCGATGGCCAGGGGCATGAGGCGCGGTGTGTCCTGGGGGAACGAAGGATGACCTGAGGAACATACCAACTCGGAGGTCCGCGCGGATGCCTCGGGGCCGCGCTGGACCCCCCCCCCCGGCGGCGCCCCCGGCGCCGCCCCTGGCGCGCTCCGCGCGCCGGGGAGGGGCCCTCCGGCGCCGATCCGAGGCATCCGCGCGGACCTCCGAGTCGGTATGTTTACGTCAGTCTTCGTTCCCCGATGTCCGTGCCCCCATCGCCGAAGACGTGCGTCGAGATGAAGTGGTTGGCCACAATGAGCCTCGTCGCGTTGCCCAGGCTGCCGGTCCCGAGCTGGTGGACACCCTCCCCCTCCTGCAGGAGAGACAACTGCTGCACCAGATCCGCGTGCCTCTTGTATTGCGCTGGGCGGTGGAACTCCGCGGCACCGCGCAGCAGCTCAAAATCGCCAGCGTCCTGGAAGAACGGCATTCCCCTGGCACATTGCTCCAAATTCTGGTAAATAGATCTCCAAAACGGCTCGAATGGCCCCTCGGTTGCCGCTTGAGCGGAACCAGCCAGGCGATCCAGCTCCATCACGATGTGTGCTGCCAGACGCGTTTCGTACAGCCCAGGCATGTCCAGCGCCGTCAACAACGGATGCCTCCGCTCCGCGAGGCTGACCCCCAGGTCCAGCTCCCCCGGGATGTGCATGATAGGATCTCCTGCCTTCAGCGCCTGGCGCGCCCGCACCTCGGGAAATCAGAAGGTACCGATGCCGCTACTCCCCAGACCTCTCCCGGGGTGCGTTCTGACCAGAATCTCGAGGCGAATCCAGCGGTGGCAACGAGCCAGGAGGCCCAAAAAGTGGAAAAACGGGCGAAGGGTAGATGTATGGGTACCTTTTCCTCCCCTGAGCACCGCCACACCGCGGTCCTCGGTGCAGACAGCTTCTACGCGGTCCGACACGAACCCCCCGCGGCCGCGCACCCACGCCACGAGGCCATCTCTGACCTCTGCGGGCCCCACTGGCAAGGGCGCCCACGGCGGCGATCCCTGCGCCGCCGCGGCGGGGACAGGCGGAGGCGGCGGCCACGGAGCCTTCCCGGGCATACCAGAGAGCGCGGGCGCGGCTGCAAACCGCAGCTGGGATGCGGCAAACATCCATGTAATAAGCGTCGCGGCGACAAGAGACAACGCGTGGCGATATTGTCGCGTCCGACGGAAAGTTCGCCACTCGCGCGATGGCCACCGCATCTTTCCGAACAATCATGCCGCTGCGCCTTGAGCCGACCCGGCTCAGGAATTCGCGGTAGGCTTCGAAGAGCACGGTAGAGAACGATATCAACTGCAATGCCATGCCTTTGCACTATTCGGCCGTCAGAACGGCGTTGGCGAGCACGTGCTTTGCCCTAACATCCCGCACGCGTTTCCAAGCTGTCGTGCGCCCCGTCCCATCACGCCCCTACCCTCGGGGGTACACTCTGCAAATATAGGCAACCTTTGAAAACCGCTGATCTTGGGGAAGCCCAAAAAGGCACCGATGCTGCCACTCCCCAGGCCTCTCCCGCGGTGCGCTCTGACTAGAAAACCTCGAGGCGAGCCCACCAGTGGCGACGAGGGCCTCCCAGGAGGCCTCGAGAGGGGGGGAAAACGAGGGCAGTGGCACCAGTATGGGTCCATGTTTGTCGCCCTGAGGCATCCTTAGAAGAAAGAAAGCGCAATAAGCGTTGACAGTTGGCTCTCAGCGCGGATTTCTTGGATTTGCGCTGGGCCCTCCTCCCTGGCGCGCGGAGCGCGCCAGGGGCGGCGCCGGAGGCGTCGCGAGGGGTGCCCAGCGCGGATCCAAGAAAACCGCGGCGGAGTGCCAAAAGCTAATGTTTACGGCGTTCTTTCTTCTTCGAGACCTCCTTCGTGTTAGTGTTGACTGTGGCCATCCTTTCGAGACCGAGGGATCCAGAACAGTCGGCGGCGAGCGAGGGGGGGAAATGAGAAGAAGGCCTTCTCAGACGGCGGCGGGACTTCTCAGAAGCCCTCGCGCCTTCTGAGAAGTCTTTCTGTCTTCGCAATCGGCGGCGAGCGAGGGGGGAAATGAGAAGAAGAAGAAGGCCTTCTAAGAAGGCGGGGGACTTCTCAGAAGCCCTCGCGCCGTCCGAGAAGCTTCTCCCTGTCTTCGGGGAAGGCTCAGAAACCTTCTCGGAAGGCCAGGGGACTTCCGAACCTCCTGAGAAGACCCTCTCATTGTCTCACTTCTCCCCCTCGCTCGCCGGCGAAACACGGGCCGGGGG